ACACTGGCACAGGTTGCCCAGAGAGGTGGTGGATGCCCCATCCCTGGAAACATTCAAGGTCAGGTTGGACGGGGCTCTGAGCAACCTGCTCTAGTTGAAGATGTCCCTGCCTACGGCAGGGGGGGTGGACTAGATGATCTTTAGAGGGCCCTTCCAACCCAAACTATTCTATGATTCTAAGTATATGAGATGGAGATTATACAGGTCTTTTCAAAAGTTCCTTTGAAACACGAAAGTTGGTTTCTGAATTTCGTTTTGGCCTTTCTGGGAATTTTTTTGCAGAGCATTGTAGTTCTAAATATGACATTATACACCTGAATTACCAAGTATTGGTCAACTGCCATGTAGGAAGACCATTTATGTTTCTTGTATGTAGTAACACTATCAAAGAGAACAGTTATCTTGAATACAGGCTGGCTTATTGGCTATATTAGGACCTGTTGTAAGATAAAGATGGAGCAACCTGCAACCGGGCATATAGAGCACGTATTAGCAGCTGAGGCAATCTTTATTGCATTACTAAGCAATGCCTTTCTTTCCTGCGATTTATGAAATTGCTACCGGGAACTCCACCCCCATCTTTTGTTTAAATCTGTGCTATTGTGATGACCTTCATGTATGATGCAGCACTTAAAAGATCAGTCATTTTATAGAAATCCCTGTTCACCTCTGCAGGTAAGGGTTTGTGCTTTGAGTCACCAGTAGTCTTTCATCCCTTTATACTGCTGTTAAGCACTGTGTGAGGGGATGATTGGTGGTAAGGATGAAGGGCAAATTTTCCATCTGTAATCTTTCACAAGGACATTATTGCCCTCGATCTTTAATTCAGATATCTGCCCAGTTCAATAACAGACTTTCACGTAAGTCAAGCTGTTCCTCTCCTGAGTCTCTTTCCTAAAACACACACAATACTCTTCACAAAATAAAAGTTTATAAGTGCAAGTGGTAAGGACATTATCCTTTCATTTAGACATTTCATTTCATTTCCTTTAACTAAATTGTTAAGACCTGAATTGACTTTTTGTGGCATTGCTTCAAGGACTAGGAGACCCAGAGATCATTCAAGTGGATTTCAGGATGTGTAAACCCTGCTTAAGAGTTGAAGAGAAAATAATGTTTTTCTTCAGGCTTGTTCCACTTTGTCAGATGGAAACAGCATGATGTTTCCTGCATGTACATTTTCTAATCACTTCCTAATTGTACTTCCAATTCAGACACTAATTTTAACGGGGCTATTTAGATAATAATTTTAACAGGGCTATCTTGAAATTCTTTTGCCACCTCCAGCTAATTAGGTTACTGTCTATTAGTCTCCAGCATAGAATCCGATTGGATCATCACTGGAGAAAACTATTTATAAATTACCGCTGTCGTTTGTCAAAATGTGCTCAATCAAATTCTTTGATGATCCCTCTTGATCTCTTATTCCAAATCTTGGCTCTTGTGGTCAAGATACCAAATCCTGGTTTAAACAGCTATGAGATTTTTGTCCTATAGTGAGTCCAGAGGTGGCTGCAATAAACTAGAATTCAAAAAATTTTGTTTGGCATTTGGAAAAAATCTGACTCATTGAGACTGGACACTTTTTTGTCATCATAGTATGTATGGCCCAGGACCTGACCTTCATCTCCTTCCCTTCCTTTAAGTCCCCCACATCTGGACACAAATGGGTGAAGGTTTTCTGGTTAAGATTTTTTTTTTTATTTTGGGTTTTTTTTTTTCCTTGATTCTGTTTTTTGTTATTGGTCTCTTAACTTTTTTAAGTCTTAAGATTGTCGTAAGTAGACTGTCTGTTTAACTTCAGTACTTTCTCAGAGTATCATACCTTCTCATCTTGGTTTTTTTTTTTCTCTGCCCTCTGTTTTGAAACTGTGTTTATTTCGTCTCTGGCTTTGCTTTCATCCAGTCTTTTGCAGCCATTTCTCTGTCTCTGAAATGGTCCTTCTCCATGTCTCCAGCAACTTAAGCAACATCAGTAACAACTGGAAAATGATTCTGTTTCTGAGATCTGTAGAGTAGTCATCTGAAACTGCATGCACATAAAGGATTATTCAGAGGTTTTCAGAGAAGGAATTGTGGTTCTTAGAACAGTGCAGCCCCCCCCTCCTACAAGTTACCTAAGCATGTGGGAAGACACTTCCTGAAGTTACCTACTGGTGAAGGAGCAGGTGGACTGTCACTAGGGAAAAGGGACATTACTTTTCATAAGTGGAGATCCCTTGACGTGTTATCCAGGTATGCATGCACTGTCCATCCTCTTTCCTCTCTTCTTTATTCCATTAAAAAGGTCAGATTCTGGGGGTAGCATACCTGAAGGACATGTAGATTGTGTACACTGATGGACACTAAATGCAGCAGAGTGCATGAACACTGGTGTCTTTTGATATATGTATACTTTCAGTAAATGGGCAATATATCTCAAGGAACCTCCAGTTATAGGTAAGTAACCTTACTTTACTGGAATGAGGAAGAGCTGGTTAAGTATGGTTTTAACTTACTTTTGTTAAAGACACAGTTCTATCTGTTCTCTACGCATTTTTTTAAAAGGCTGGAATTTGCTGACAAATAGCACAAACTTAGAAATACTACTTTTCGTTCTGAGAGTGAAGGGAAGACTACATCGTCTCCATTCTGTTTGTATTGATCACTGGCTAATGATGAATGTTTTAAGTAGTAATCATGGGGTAACAGACTCTTTCAGAAGTTTAGCTTTGCAGAGTGGGATGCAAGAGAACATTGCTGGGTGCTGCTCTGCAGCCAGGTGATAAACATCTGAGCATTCTTTGTCATAAAAGGAATGGCTTTTTAACCTTTGATAGACAAACCATGACATTTTCAATGCTCTGCTTTACATAGTAAGCTTTTTATTTTGCTATTCTTTTTATTTATAAATGTACTTGTATTTTAATGTATTCCATTCTTGTGACTCTAGCTCCTGCTTCTTTAGAATCTTCAAGCAGTATAGAACAGGAAAAATACCTACAAGCCTTACTGAATGTGATATCCGTCCACTGCAAAATGAATGGCAGTAATACTCTTACTGTTAGACCAACAATTGCTCTGTCTCCAGGTAAAATTGGTTTATGTAGTGCTTTTCTATGGTTAAGTTGAAAAGTGAGTTTTCTCTGATTTGGTGGTAGCTCAATTTGTCCCATATGAATTCTGTTGTTTCTTTATTGTTGCACTTTCCAGATAGCTTATTCACTCTTAGTTTCAGTGAATGTGTTTTCCGTATGTAAAGGATGTTTATAATCTTTCCCAAAATATTTTTTCAGTATTCTTAATCTGACAATAAATGATTATCCACCTGTAGGTCATAGTTTTTGACGAAATTCACTTGAGTATGATGGGCTAATCTTAAGGCATTAGTGTTTAATTACAATTCTGGAACAAATAAAGTAAAGTCCTCCAGAATATCAAGATGCCAAATCTTTCCAGGTTTGGGGTTTTTTTATGTCAAATGCAACAATTACATTATATAACAGAATCAAAACCAAAGATCCACTTTGAAGTCTTTTATAACAAATTAAGCGTATTGAAAACTGTATATTGAATAAGAGATTGCTAAATTGAAGAGAATGCGAAATACTACTCTATTTCATATAATGAGAAAATACGAGATTGCAAGTTCAGATTCTGTATGAACAGATGCACCATTTAGCTACAGCAGCAATGGAAGGTATATAGGCATTTTCATGTGTGTTACATACTCATAATGGGCTTTTAATGTCAGTTCCAAGTAGAGCTTTACTTGCAGTGAAAACTCTTTCAAAATACACTATTTGAGTTATGCATATGTGGAACCATGAAGAAATGAATCCATGTTTTATTTCAGTTATTTTGTGATGAAACCTGGTAAGGTTTATGTGAAGGTAACCCCAATGTCTTAGAAAGAGGAGTATGTGACTTGAAATTGTGTCTGTCTTGTCTTATTCAGTTAGTGGTAATTGGCCTAATATAGCCAAACAGTGGCTTTTCTTGTAAATAACACCATTCCCAAAGTGTGCATGCTTTGCTTCATTTATTGTAAAATATGTTGATTGCTTAGCTGTATCTAACATCTCCATATTGTTGCCAATGTATACACGTGTCTTAAAAAATAAATCTGAAGTACAAAATTGGCAACAATTAGCTGTACTGTGTGAAAAAGGGCATTTTTATCATTTATGTTAAGTGTTAGTCTGAGTAACACTGTAGTTTTTTAATCTTCTATTCTTTTTTTGGCTGACTTTAGGCACTGAAAGGAGGGCTTCAAGAATGTCTACTGTGTTTAAGCAGGTAGTGCCAGGACATTTGGATGTAAATCTATCCAATAGCTTTGCTCGAGGAGGTTAGTAAGACTAGCTCAAAGTCTATTATTTGAAATAATAAATGATAACAAAATGTTAGTGAAATAAAAATAATTACACTGCTTACCAATTCCATTACTCTGTGAAACAACAAAATAGAAATTACAGAGTAACCTCAGTTATCTAATTTCTGTTTAAGTCCTTTACTTACCATTGAAATAAAGCTTGTTTCATGTTGGAAATTAGTGGAAAATTAAGCAATACTTTGTCATTCATCCATATTTTTAATTTGTCTAAAATGTATGGCCCGAAAATGCATATTTTATATTAAGATTGAATATACTTTAGAATCTCCAATTACAGATCATTCCGGCATTTGGCTGAGGACTAGCTGATACTTCATAAAGTTACAAATAATCTACCTGAATAATTTTACTCTAGATAAAGGAGGGAGTTACATGACCAGGCTGTAATAAGTAGGGAGATACAGTGCGTTCTTAGCTACGAGGGCTCATCAGTGTCATTTCTACAAGAAGCTTTCATTCTGTGAAGTCAATTCCAACTACTTTTACTCTTCTAGTCTGATGAGAGTGTTACGATTTTTTTATGTGCAATACATGCATAAATTAGTGCATCATATTCCTTAAAGATATGTTTGTAGGGATGAATCTATTTTCCAAAAGGGAGCATTTTATATTTCGTTTATTACCTTTTAGCCCTGAAGGCTGCTCTTACAATTATTTCTAAGCATCTAAAAGTTGCTTTTCTTCCTTTTTGACTCCTTCCAGCTTTGTGAGCAGTGCATTAACCATCTTACAGCAAATGCAGCTCAGATTTTCAGAGGTGAGAGTACGAAAGGCCATAAGATACCTCATCTAAATTTAGTTAGACTTACTTTGACCTGCTGGGGCCCATTCCAACCTAAATTATTGTGTGTGTGTGATAGAAAAACTGTAGTTTCATATGGGGAAGAATAAAACAATTTTGTAGAGAAAAACTTTCAAAAGAGATGGACGGGATTAGAGAAATGAAGGAAGGAAGAAGGCAGGACGGAGAAAGAAGAAAGGAAAATACTCAGAGCTGTATAGAGACATTACGTGAAATAATATAAAGCAGAAGGGAAGAGAGAAGGGGCACTTAAATGGTGATCACCAAAGAGTGGAAAATTCTGTGCATTTTCATTGATCATAGTATATGCATGTTTCATATCTAAAAGTTCTGTTTATGTTCTCTGCTCACTGTCTTGTTATTGTAGTATATGGAGATGAAAAAACATAGTGATTTTAATTGGATAGGTAAAATGGCTAGGGACCTAAGAGAACAGGAGTTAATAGTATCTGGAATTGTTAGATAAATTGGTGGCTGTGCCCAGCTTGACTTTGTACTGAAATAGTGAAAATGCTGGGTAGCTGACAGCAGACGTTTGGTTGTATTCCATCCTCTTGTGTTGGCACAAAAGTGCCAACAGCAAAGTGGTGCTGAGGGGTAGTGAAGGTTCTCCAGATAAGTAAGGGAAACCTTGCTGGTTGACGGTATGGAAGTTGTCTTTTGAAGATAAAAGGATTACTGAAATAACTATTGCTGGTTTTGGGGGTTAGCTGTGGAACTGTGATAGGATGAGTTTGTTGCTACTCAGTGAAGAAAAAAGGAGTCTCAAGGCAGTATTAGGTCACAGACGTGTTGTTTTATTGGACGTTGAAGTCTCTTGGCTAAATTTCAGCAGTAATCGGGAAGAGGGCAGAGAAGTTATCTTGTGTCTTGCTGGATTGATGCCACACCTGCTCTATATATCTGAAAGGTATAATTACGGCCCAGTATCTGCAGTCTATTCACAGTTCAGCAGGATACATGAGGACTTTGCTGAAACATAAGAATGTTTGACAAGTACAATGGGAGCCCTAGTGAAGGTGAGAAGTTGACAGGGTAAGAGAGAACAGGGAAAGGGAATATCTCCCTGTAGAGAAGTAAACACTAGGGTTTTTAGATTATCTGACAGAATTATTTTAGAAGAAACTCAAAAATACACAAAGTATATAGAATCTCTAAAATTGTTGTTCTCAAATAAATTGATTCACATGATTTATTATTGTAAACTTTTTACTACTTTTTCACAGCTAGTTATATTTCACATGTGAAGTAGTGTCACGAGACTGTATGCAGGACCAAAAATACAGGTGTTTGGTCAGCTGAAAAAACAGACTTATTTTATGCAGGCAGTCTAAAAGTGGTGATTTCTCTCGCCTTTGTATTCCTAAGACTAACTCAAAAAGCAAAAAAAGAAAAAGAAAAAAAAAGACAACGGGGTTAGCTAGTTACTTTATCGTAGCAACCAGCTATGGATTATGCACTACACTGTACAAAATACAATAGCAGTATTTTTGTGGTTTTGCTTCTGGATCCCTCTTTCTTTCCTTGTTTTTATTCTCACACATACCAGGGCTCAAAAGCCAGGTTCAGCTATGATACACCAATTGAAAATGACACTTTTTTTTTTTTGTGCCAGACGATGTATTTTTAATACATATACTTTTAAAATTTAAGTTAAAAGATATGTGCTGGTGCTTAAATAGTATTTCTCATTTTTAAAAATCATCATTGTTCTGAATACTCATCACTTGTCCTGAATATTTGTGTCCGTGTCGGGTACGTTTTTTTAACTTTATCTGGAACATTGTAAAAAAATAGTTGCCTAAAGCACAGTTAAATTGTTTCTGATCTGAAATATTTGGCCAAATACTTATATTTCATAATATATTTTCATTCTTGGACCTTTTTTTGGCAATAGCTTGCTTGATATCTTTCATAAGAATTGTAAGTTCACTCAAAATACGTACCTTTTCTTCTTATATTACTTTATAAGTACAGTGTGGTTCTACAGAACAGCACTTCTTATCTGGCATTGTTGTGTAATTTAGTAGAATAAAATGTTTCCTTAGTATTTGTTGCTGTTGGAAAAATACTGGGATATTTATAATTAATAAATACAGCCTCAGCTCAGACATCTATTTTAAAAGCAGGAGACATTAATAATTTGAGTATGTTTTCATAGAATATTTGTATTAAAAGAAGTTGCTTGTGTTGATGTGGCTTTTGAGCCAAAAATACACCCTCTGATAAGCATGTAAGGCTCCCACTGAAAATGAAAATTTTTGCAAGGGGGGAGGAAATCTCTTTGTGTGATAGATATTACATGTTTTCTAAATTATGTAATTTTACACAGTCCTTTAAAAATGTTTGTAGGTGTATAAAATTAACATCTTGCACTCTGATTTGATTTTGAGGTCCATCAAATTATGTACCTAAAATAGACTAAAACAGTTTTTAAAAAAAGCACAAAGGTTTCGGATTTTTAATTAAGCTAACTTTCAGCTGGATAGAAGCTTTCAATAAAGTATTCAGCAGAATGATTTAATCGTTACGTTTCCTTTGGTATTATAATTATGGAAAAACACATGATGGCTGTGCTCTACATATTTGAAACTATTACAATGACAATGAAAATTACTCCTTTTTGATAAATGGGTACTTCCTTCCCATTTTATATTGGTTTTCTGGCTTGATTGATGTTTTGTCTTGTGATGACTAAGATTTGTGCTGTCTGATAAATCATGTACTATAAAGAAATTCAATATATACTAGATCTTTGGAAATTAATAAGTAACCCTTTTCTTTTCTCCTGCAATGTGTCTCGCTGCAATGTGCATTCCATTCCTCCTCCTTCTGTCTTAACTGTTATCTACCAGTGCTCGGGTACAGAGATAAATGTTTCACTCATTCAAATTCCAAATCAGCAACTAAGGGAAGAGTCCATCAAGGTACTGTATTCTGTGTCCTGAAAGCACATTCTTTTCTACCATCTCCATAACTACTGCAATATCGTAATACATAAGTGATACTGACAGAAAGGCTTGATTCTGCATTAACAAAATTTTGGGGGTTTAGTTCAGTGTTGTGGTTTTGTTTTGTTTTGGGGGTTTTTGGCCATTGAATGTACGATGCAGTGACAGTGATTAGCCACACACTTCACCATGTTATTCTTTAATAATGTTATGATCTAATGCGGAGTGATATGTAGAAAATTTTCTGTGTGAAAATTTTAAACAGCAGAAAATTAATTCTGCAAAAAAGCATTTAGTACTCCTACTGCTTTAGTTAAAAAGCTAAGAAATACTGTTACCTAGTCAATGAGCTTTCTTTCCAAAATTATTGTTAATGTTAGTGAACAGGGAAAATTTGATTTCTGCCAAATTAGAAAGTCATAATAATACGATATATGCCAAATAATGAAAGATAGATACTGCTAACAAAAAATAAGGCAAAAAATACTGGGCAAAATTAGAATAGAAATATAATAGAAATATTATTGTGTCTTTTAATCACTGTTATCCGTCACTGGTAAACATGTTCATCTCCATGTATTTGTAACCAGTTTTGTTGCTTTTGATGTTCTACAGGCGCTAATGATGGCCTGCATTTGTAAAACGTTAGAAAGCGTGACTGTATTTTTGTATATATCATCTTTGGGGACAGCTGTCTGTGTCGGAGCTAGCATTTTTTCATACCAAATGAACAAGAAATTGTTTCTCTTATTAAATGATTGCTGTGATTTCTGCTTGCTAAAGTCTTTATTATTTCATCTGTAGTAGTTCAGATATGGAACAAAAGTTTATACTAAACATACTACTTTACTATGTGAGGTATTTTGTAAAACTGGCTGTCTTTGAAGTGGAAACTGTTTAGAACTGTTACCAATTCATAAGTTCCTAGCCAACCATTCTCAGTTACTCCTATTTGTTTACTCACATCTAGGACTTGCAGCCAGATGGGCAGACAAGCTAAACTGTACATACAAGTCCCTGTTGAGTATTACTGTACAGAATTATTCTTTAATAGAAAGATAATCCTGCTTCTAAAAAATAGGATAAAATTATTTTGCTGGTTGAGCTATCTCAGTGGAATTTTACTGTTATCTGCAGTTTTTTTCTTCTATACAAGAAATGTTAATTATGCATATTGTTGGATTTTACTGAAGGGGTTGGAGGGTTTTTTTGGTACTCTTTATCTAAATTTCTACTACTACGAGGTATTTCTGGTGCCTCTTTTGGATATCTTGCTTCACAGATTTATGGACAAGAGTCTCTTCTGATAATCTGATTTACTGCATATTGTGTTAAAGAATTTCACGCTGCCATTTGAATGCCAAATTTAGTATACTTTAAAGGATTTGATTTTCAAGTAGTGCTATTTATATTCTGAAAATCTTCTGAAGTACCTTTCACGTACCTCACACTGGACACACAAAAACAGTCTCACAAAATCATTGTTATTAACTAAGGCACAAGAAACAGAAAAATATTTACTACTTGTCTTTTCTTCTGCTGGTGCTAAACAGGCCTTGGCAATCTGGTTTATCACTGCTTTATCTTATGTTGAAATCACGAAACTTACTTAAGCATGATCAGATCAGAGCCTGTCTGTGTGCTGTAGGAATTTTCTCCTCTGGAAATGACAATATAGCTGCATCAGCAAGGCACAATATGCAAACTAAAAATGCCGTTGAGAGGCAGAGGTTATTAGGTTGGTACAATGCCATTCAAATATTGATGTGCTGCTTTCAGATGCAAGTCCATGGTTCCACGTCACACTGCACTATTTCAAGCTCATTTGTTGCTAGCTTTGGGATTTCTGTACCATGCCCTGCTGCCAGAGTAATGGTGATCTTACTGCCAGATTAAAACTGTAAGACTGTGGCGATCTAGGCATCCTTCTCTCTACTCGCACAACTCTCAGTCACATCTGCTGGAATATAGTCGTGAAACACATGATTAAAAAAAGAACTTCCTTAAATTCATTTTCATTTCTAATTATCCATTAGACATGGACAATTAAAAACTAAAATTCACAGCATTCTGCATTTTAATCATGGCATTTCAAGAGTAAATATGGAATACTTTATCCTGAAATGTAATATTTGAGTTGATCATCCTTATATACATTTTCATTATAATACGATATGGTTGATACTATTACATTGTGTAGGGCGAAAGGAACACAAGAATTCTAGGTAACACGGAATTTTAAGTGTTACTATTTCTGTTTTTGAAGAAAGTAATTATATAATATTCTTACTAGTTAGACTTCCAAAATCATATGCCTTTGACAAGGAAATACATCAAATTTTTGTCCTTACTTCTGAAAAGAACAACACTAGTGATTTCATTTCTGTACACTTAAATGGACGTTAATTACTTGCAAGTTGTGATTCATTTTATCACTGTATTACTGATATCATAGCAACCATTTTCTCTACAATAGAAAGTGCTGTGCAGAGTTTGATTAGTATCTTAGATTAAATGACAATGCAGTAGGATGCTTTTGACAGGGTTTTTTTTATGAAAACATTTCTTTCCAGTACGTGCTGTTAATTATGTCCTATGAGGGATGCAAATGACATGTTTAAGCACTCTACTTTCCAAATTATGTTTTAGCAGATGCCTTAATAATTATGATCTCCAGTGCCTCACGCAAAGAGGTTTTTAAATATTTTTCATCTTTATGAAGGTGTATGGGCGAGTCTTCGTTCAAGCAACCGATTTATCAACACTCAGACTCCATTCATTGATGTTGGTGCAAGACTTGCAGGGAAAGATAACACCACTTCCTACAGTAGCAGCACTTTTCTGCAAAGTCAGCTTTTGAGACGGCAAGCAGCCCTCTATATATTTGGAGAAAAATCTCAGTTACGGGTAATGGCAATTTCTTTTTTTCATGTTAACATAGTTTTTATTTGGCTTGAGTTTAATAACCCTAATGTTTTTACAAGACAGTAAATAATATTCTAGATAAGGTGGATGGATAACTCTCTTAAAGGTGTAAACACTTACGAGGATTATTCCTATACACAGAATAACAAATAATGCTGTATAATTCAGTGGGGGCCGGGGGGGTGAAAATCAAGCTCTGTGGTTATATAATACAACAAAGTTAACATAAATTAAAATATGCTAAGTTATCCTAAAGAACAGTTAAAGATGAGGTTCAAACTCACAGAGTTCTGTGAGTTGAGCCCTATTTGTCACTTTTGGTCAAGTGCTGATGTGTAGTAGAGCTAAAAGATACAAAGATGGGTGACAGATGACTAGAGGAATGGAATAGCTTTTGTACAAGGTAAGAGCATTCAAATTGGGAAAGACATGGCTAGGAAGGAAATACATTGCTAGGCAACAGAGCATCCAGCAAAGCCTTCATATTCGGAAGTCACCATGTCTTCACTGTCTCAGCTGTCTCCCAGCATTGGCTTTGCAGGGAGCAAGGGCAGCAGAGTTTGGCTCTGCTTAGTGTAGCTGTTGGGATAAAGATGAATGATGAGACTGTAGGCAAATGCAGTGGGGCTGGTGTAGCAGCAGTGGAGCTTGTTGCCCCTTTCAGAGACTGTTCAGAGCTATTCCAAGGGAAGTGCTGGAGTTCTGTATCTGTAAGTTCTTGCTTTCAGAGCCACGCTTAATTACACCTCAATACATACTACTGTACTACTAAATACATTCTCATCTAAGTTCAGCTGAGTCGTCATCTCAGTGATTTCTATTTTGGGAAACATGAAACAGACTTATTTGGTAATTTAAAGTGCAATTTTATTTTTCCTGATGTGTTGAAATATGTTATGAAGCAAATGGAATGTTGTTAGTCAGGAAAGTGATTACCAGAGGAGAAAACCTTCGTTACTGTGGACAGCACTTAAACTCACATGAAGCCAAATTGATGTGAGTAAGCAACCTTAGAAGTCTGTCCATCTGGACTTGATCACATGAAGAAGGACCATGATGTCTACAGTTTTGTACACCTTTTTGGATAGATTTTAATATTTTAGATGCAGTAGTTTAAGAAACAGCTATCCTCTGCATAATTCTTGGTAGTTTTACGTTTTTTCAGAAAATGTTTGCAGATTTTTTTTTTTTTAAATCTCCGCATTCAAAGACGGAAAAATCAATTGGTTTCTACTTTCTTATTTGAAATGTGAGCATACGTAAAATATTGTGTATTTTTTGAAATATATAACTTCCAAAAGCAGTTACTGGTAGTAGGAAAACACATCATTATTCAATTCTTTCTGAAATTATGTTATATCAGGAGATGGAAGAATCATGCTGTAGCAGAATGATGAATCAAAATTCTTTACAAGTTTTGTTTCTATTTTGACTTTTCTTTGTAATTTCAAATGTTCTTTTATATCTTATTTGTATTTTCAGTTGTATTTTTAAATGATGGTTATATAACAGGTACTTGTTCTTACTCCATTTTTACGTTGTCTTTTATAATTGGTTTGCAAATTCATTTTCCTTTTGGTTTCTTCATTACACATTGGTACACAAAGTAGTCATTTTTAATTAGTTAGATTTCATTTGACATTCTATCGCTTTCTAACATAATTAGCATAACAAGAATTTACAGCAATATCCTGTTAAGTCTGTAATCAAAGTGTTCTGATTTAATGTAATAAAGTGTAGGAATATAATATAAAAGATGAAACAGAAATTCGGGAAGTAAACATCATTTATCATTATTAGAACAAACTGTTCTTTTGAACAGTAAGAAAACTGTTTATTTTCCTGCAAAATTTTTCAGTTTTATTGAGTTGGCATTTTCATTTGCTTTTCTGGAGAACATTCTTCCCAAAGTTTTCAAACAGGTCTATTCATATCAATTTTTCATCTTGTTAAGTCCTCTTCTATAACCGTAACCCCCAGAAGGCTCTGGCAAAGGAGACACTTCCATGAAAAGGAATACAGTAAGAGTAATGCAAGAGAAACGATTACATAGAATTAAATTGCCATAATCCATTAGTAACAATTATTCACACTTCTATTTTTTTTATTTCTTAATGAATGGTAAGTGAAGAGTTCAGTCATGCATCTAAAGATATGTAGTAAAAACATCTTTAGTCTGTCGCTTTGAAGTGACCCCTTAGACCACTTGGGAAAAAAATGGAAGTTGTTTAATATATCAGCAGTCACAAATTAGGTGGGGAAAATATCTTAGTGCTTGGTATAGATTAAAGCATTTTTAATATATTACCATACAGGTGTGTAGTATTATGCAGAATATGAAAAGAGCCGACTATTGGATGTACAAACAACAAGCATTGGACAAAATCAGCATGAAATAGTCTGAAGTCCAGTAGGATGTATATAATTTGGAAATTGTTTAAAAGTCAATACTTCAAGGATCCTTACATTATGCTGGGTGATTTCCTTGCTGGTTTAGAGCTTACGGGTTTTTCACTTTTTTTTTGTTTTGTTTAATAATACAATTTTGCAGAAGATGCATCTCTGGGCTTTTCTAACAAAAAGTGTATTGTGTTAGCAAATGTAAGAATAAAATTACATAGTGATTAAGTGATTGTTTCAAACCTTCTCTCATTGATTTGTACCTGGTCTGTAAGATGAATTCAACTTTTGTTTTTGTATGAAGAAATCTTGTTGATTTTTGATTGTGAAGTATTTTCCTAGCTTTTGTTAGCATCCTGCTAACTTGGAATTTGCTGGCTTTGTAAAGGGCTTGGCAGAACATGCATTACTGATGTTGATTCCTGTAAGGACCTGCTTTATTCTGCTAAACATCATGTCACATAAATTGATGATGCAAACAGAAATATATAACATGTTAAGGAAATTGTGCTACTTTTCTCAATTGCTTTTATCATACATTATTACAACTTAGCATTCTAAAAAAGCAAGTTTGCTAGTTGAGCTATTTAATTTATTTTTTGAACCATGCCAAAATATAAACAGAACTAAATCTGGGCTTTCACTTTCCTACATTTTCGCTTGGCATCCTATGAAGCAGCTTAATGAAGATTATTTGCAGGCCAAGTTTAATTCCATGAAAGAGCAATTTCCAAAGAAAACTGAAAAAGTTTGCTGTGAAGATCTTCAGTGATGCTTCATACATGAGAATTGTTTTTTCCAATAATGTTCTCCATATTATTCATCATAGTCCTTTTCTTTTCAGTTAGCTAACTTGATCTATTAATTCAGTCCTCCTCTCTTATTGGCCATTTTCGAAATGCAGTAAGTAAAACAAAATATGAAGAATTCTGCTAGGAAAACCTCACATACCTCTTGGAAATTATATCAGGTGTTCCTTGACTGCTATTCTGTGTTGAACTAGGTACTTTAGACAAACAATTGTCTCAATGTGCAGTGACCACTTAGCTGAGTCAGCTAGTTTGCAGTTTTGGGGGTTCTTTTTGGATTTGGGTGTTACTTTTTTTCTGCTTTATTGAACTACTAGAATCTGTCCTGCACTGTTGGTATGTCATCCATACAGTTATTTTAATTTTTATTTATTGTTAATTTACTTTAAAAATCCTAAAGGAAGCACATTATGTTGTATAGAAAGAACTCAACAGATTTATCATTCAAGTTTGGTTTTTTACTACTATTATTACTATAATTGTTATTATTAAAAATATGACTGCTGTGCAGTACATTCTGCTGTTATGAGTAGCAGATAGGTACTTTATTAGGGTACATTTTGCAAGTGTTGTAAGGACTTTTATTATCCTGGGCAGGTGTTTAACTAAGCAGATTTTGAATTAGGAATTGAAATATTTAGCAATAAAGCAGGCAAGACTTTGAGATTTGATGAGACTATCAGTGAAAAATATGCTTCCCTTTTAAATTACATCTGCTGTTGTCCTTTTCATACAGGGATTCAAACTTGATTTTGCTTTGAATTGTGAATTTGTTCCTGTTGAATTCAGTGACATCCGACAGACAAAGGCAAGCTTTAAAAAGCTGATGAGAGCTTGTGTTCCCAGCACTATTCCTACAGATTCTGAGGCAACGTTCCTTAAAGCACTTGGGGAGTCAGAGTGGTTCCCACAGGTAATTTATATGACAGGTACTTCTAATAATCTATATGTAGTACTGCTTAGACAAAATAAATTTCAGGCTTTTCTGACAGAGAACTGTTGTGTTCTAACCAGCTGTTCTTCTTTGTTCATTATAATTATTTTGCATAGTATCAATTCTGTCATTACATAAGAATTATTATTTTAATAAAATTATAACATTTACAAATGTGGGAGGCATTTTTTATAACATAATTTATGGTTTATAACATGGAACACATACACAAGTAGAGATGACCATTTTTTCTGCCCATATAAATTTATGGTCTTGGTTTTAACTGCTTTTTCTTATTTTATATGTTTTAAAAATCAGAAAAAAGTATAGAACAGTAAATGAGCCTTTTGATTTTAAAACCAATATTCTAATCTTCATATGTGTTCCCACCCTGAATTTCCATATGCACGAGTATTTAACAAATAAGTTAGCATCTGTTATCTGTTGTGGGATATGGGGAAGTGTTTGCGGGGGAGAGGGGATTGTGTGTGTGTTAATCTGTTCTCTCTGAATCTGTTCCTTTTCTTCCCTATCCCATATTCCCTTACATAAAGATTAACCAAACGAAGGCAAGACTGGAAGTAACTTTGCAAGATTCAAATTAAGAAGGATGTGGGAAAGTCAGCTCTCTCTAAATCTAAAACCATTTTAATTACAGTGAATGTTTTTTAACAGTTGCATGTTATGTTTGGAATCTTCTGCTGAATATATTCTTCTCAAATGCAATTAATCATAGAAAACAAAATAGACTCTTATGCTGGTTTCTTAAGGAGGAAATACATGTGAGTAACAGTCATTTCCGTAATTACACATCAGAAAATGTACTCCTGGTTGAAGTGTGCTACAGTGCAAGGAGTGGCTTAACTTCTTCCCTTGAGGTGTGATCACTCCTTAGAGAGCATAGGAGCTGGTCATTACTGTGTCTGGCTGCCACGTTCTTCCGGAAGGGGAGAAGTGGGAAGAGCATGAAGACTTGACTCCCTCATTGTGTGAACATTTTCAATCACAGAGTAGTTGAGGAATATAGTATAGATAAATGAATTGAATGTCACTCTGATGAAATAAACATGTCCCTGTAGCAGCACAGAGCTCAAGGGGAGATTATAACATTGGAGTTACTCTCTTTTGGCATATTTGAGAGGAAAAGTAATAGTGTATCGCTCTCTGCTCAGGACTAGATCATGTCACACACGAGCTGTGTGACATTTAAACCACATTTCTGTGGTTTAAATCATGTCGTATGTGATATGTGATAAAGTTAATTCATGACTGATTTGACACATTCTCTACTATTCCTGTGAAAGAACATAGATCTGTCATCTTGGAAATGTGTTTTTATTGTATTAAGCTTTCCTCTCCTGGGCAACAGAAGTTACACAGTATTGATTTTAACACTGTATAGGCTAAATATTTCTTTATAAGAATGTGAATATATAAGAAGAAATTGGAAGTGCTGCCCTATATTCTGAATACAAATGATAAAAATAGTATTTTGCATTTTTTTTATATTTAATCTGTATAACCAGATTGCATATCAGTTTCTTCATTAAGGATGGCAAAAAACAACCTTTCTTCTGTTCTACTGCCTAAGAAAGTATAGAACAATGAACAAACTGCTTGGTTTTAAAAGTAGTGCTCTTTTCAATCTTTTCCTATTAAAAATTGCAGGAAAATTAGTTTATTTTCTAAGTAATGGCTATGTGAATGTTCAGAGGAGTTAAGTATTTTCCATCATGATTTCCATAGTAATATTCATAGGGTTGGGGTTTTTTTAAGAGGAAAAAATCAGACTGTCCTAAACAAGGATGAATTTTCTAGGGTTTAACTGTTGTTTGGTTGATCTTTTTTCCACTTATTTTCTCCAGTTTAATTTTGTTCTCCCTCAGTCACTTCCTGTGCCTTCTGTAATTTCTGAACTTACTTTTTTCCATGCATAAATGATCTTACATGTCTCTTGCTATCTTTTGTTTATTTGTTTTCCTATACTGCTTTCTCCCTTCTTTCAGGCTTTCATCTTTCCTACTGCTGCTATTGGTTGGATTGTATTCAGTGCTCTGCAAAGAGCCGTTTCATTCTACTGTAAAAAACTGAATTGCTTACATATTGTCTATTATGTTGGTTACCAAGAATGCTGTCATAGTATGACAAAAATGGTAGAAACATCATAGATTTTACTAATAATAATGACATCTCATAGTAAGATAAAATCGCTCAAATTCACCTAATTTTTTTAACCTGCTTATACCTATCATGCTTGAATCAATCTCATTCAAGTCAATAACCCTTCCCAGAGAAATTAACTAACCCACCTGCTCATGGAATTTTAGTATCACTGCATAATGAATATTAGAATGCAAATAATTAATGTGTCTTCTTTCCATATGTTTTCGCCAGTCTGCCCAAGTATAAGAAACACTGTTTAATCTGTCTAAACTATTTCCAGATTATAGAAATAGGATTTTTCTGTGTTTGTTTTTAGGTTTGTGGGGGGTTTTTTCATTATTATTATTATTATTATTATTATTAAATTTGTTAATTTCCAACTCCCATGGGATTGAGCATTAGAAACATTATCTTGTAAATATCTTGCATGGGTTCTCCCATTGAAGTACTTAGTGACTTTATGGAACCTTAGCATTTCACAGGAAATTATGTTAGTGCTATGCCTGGGATGGAATTTCTCTACCATAAATCTGTCAACTGTGTTGTTCCCATTCTCCTTTTTATGACAGCTATTTTATTACAGTACTCATTAAACAATAGTTTAAGTTCCTGTCTTCAAATCTTTGCTTAGTTTTGTTGTAGTTCATATGAAAATCCTGAGACTGTTACATTTTATAGCTTTCTAATCTGTTGCATCAATGCATTTCTCTGTGCTACATGTAGATTTCAGAATACATATTTTAATATTAAATATGAAAAGATTCTATTTATTGATAATAACTAGAAATTCATCTTACACTTGAGTATGTTACTTATTTGTAATACTTTATAGCTTCACAGGATAATGCAATTGGGTGTGATCATCTCTGAGCTCCTGGAAAATGGTTCTTCTGTTATGGTTTGTTTGGAAGATGGCTGGGATATTACTGCACAAGTAAGGTGCTATTAAAACCTTGAAATAGCTAAATACTAAGAAAAAACACCAGGCAATACCTTTTTACACAAGTGACTGATAATTTGGTATAACACTAATAAATTTGTGTTGTGGCAGCAGAGAAGAAACTAGAATGCATGAATCCTTGCATTCATTTGCAGCGTACACCATGAAAGAGTTCCTTGAAATGAATTTGTTCCAAAGGTCCTGATGGACTTACAGTTCTAAGGCTTAGATATAAAATCTGCATTCCTGCACCTGACCATATCTAAGAATGAAAGCTGAAAGTTGCCACAATTGTTCATTTACCTTTGTAAACATAGTACACTTTAAACACAGGAGGGAAGGAGAGGAATTCTTTCTCTTGCCATTCACTTTCCATAAATGAAGTTAGGAGACCACACACAGGAAGAAAACTAAATTTGTGCCAAAATGACTGTAGCACCTGCTGCAAGGACAGATCACCACAACAGATAACTTTCTGAAACAAACTATAAATATTGTGAATGAAGACCTGCTGCCTTATTTAATGGATGCATTGTGTCCATGTAGTTGCTTCATAATTCAGAAGATAAACACAGATATCAATAATTCTAGTAAATAAAGACTTCATGTGCAGCCAGCATCCTGATACCAGGTAAACAAACCCACAAAAGAATGTTAGCATAATTATTGAAATCATTGCCAAACAATGAAGAATAGAGAAGGGGACATACATAGCTGGAAGTGAAAGAAGTCTGTGTTGCATTTTAAAGCCTCCTGAGATGCTGTCTATAAAAACAGGCTGAAGTTGGCTGGTGAGCACCATAGCATGGCAACACTGCAGAAACTCTAAAGTCACCCTCAGGACCAATTCTTTAACACTTTCTTTGCTAAGGTAGCCGATACTATTTTATAAATGTTTATTATCCTCATTTTATTAATAGAAGTGGTTTTATTTCAAATGTAATTTAAATGTGGTGTTATAATGACTTCCAAAGTCTATAGTTGCTCAGGTTTGACTTTTACAGATACCGTAAAGCCTCAATTTAATTGATGCTTTTTCATGTGAGATATTATTTGGTTTGTTTTATAAAAATACTTTATATGGTAAAATACTTGTAATTGAGTTTATATGAAGGCTTTTGTTTCCTTGAACTATAAACAGATTATGGAATATTTATATTCATTGACTAAAGTGTTCTCCTAACTTCTGTCACTCTTAACACAATATATCCTGTCTTGTGATCTAGGTAGTATCTCTGGTTCAGTTACTCAGTGATCCCTTCTATAGGACACTTGAAGGCTTCCGAATGCTGGTGGAAAAAGAATGGCTCTCTTTTGGTCATAAATTCAGTCAACGTAGTAATCTGACTCTCAATTGTCAGGGTAGTGGATTTGCTCCTGTTTTCTTACAGTTCTTAGACTGTGTGCATCAGGTAAGTCAATCTCTATCAAATCTATTTCACAAGAAGAATTCATAAATAAGTGCGTAGATGCCACTATTTCAGATATTATAGATAATGGTTTGAGAGAAGACTAGTAACCTCATTCTCTAGGTTTTATTAAAGTGAATGGATTTCACCTCAAGAACAGCTGGAACGGTTGCCTAGAGGAGACTGACCCATCTACACAAAACAGACTAAGAGGAATCATTGGCATTTTGGATCTTTTAAAGTCATTTATGCAGAGATTTCAAATAGAAGTTTTTTAAGCTTAAGACTGGCTTTTGGCAGTCTGGAGTACCTTTATTCAGAAGAAGAAATTGACTGATTGTTAGTACAGTGACTAGACAGTTTTTAATTCTTGTGCTTGATGATGAGCTTTGAAGAGGCCTTGTACTCCGTCAGTTCTGGAAACAACAAGCTATAAACCAGGGAGTCCCGAGATGTTCTTATTTTTATATATACTGCATGTTCAGAAGAAGAAGACGACCAACAGGTACATTGTGTAGGAAGAAGTTAGGTTAAGAATATTACACTCATTTCAGGTTAATTCTAAAGTCCGTCCTTTCTTCATCTCAAACCAGTGAATATAAATGCTTTGCAGAGTCTCTGTGTATGCAAACACAGGATAGGAGCTTGCATAGTTCCTCTTGTACATATGTCGTTCTTTTCCCACTTGTCTCATTTTTCTCGCTGAAAAAGCTGAAAAGACTCCTGGACATTATTAACCTATATTAAAATTTATGGATGAGACTGTCTCACAGAAGATAACTGTTAAAGCACCAGCCTTCTTACTGGGAACAGACATTCATAGTGAATACTTGCATGAAGTAGACCCTGAAAGAGAATTCAGCAAGTAGACTTAGTCTGCTACCTGAAGCAAAGTCCACGGATTAAATAACTTGCTAAACCAATGAAAAACAATCTTTAGATATCTATGGGAGACTGATAATGAATGAGCTTATAAGAAGATGAGTAAAGACTTACTGAAGAACTTGTTGCAGAAAAGAAAAATTTTGTTTGTATCCCAACGTTAAACACCAACAGCTATCATTATTGCTGTCTTGCAAGTTAATAAATCATATACTTGGAATTTGGTTCAATTCCTACAGCATTCCCCATTAGAAAACCTTAGAAGTATTTGTCACATCTCCTGTTTCATCAATCTGTTTCCCAATGGGGTCAGGTTGTGGTCCTCAGGTTAATTTTTATTTGAAATGGGGAGATTTCTCTAAAGAGAATCAGTACTGCATTTTTCATTCAAACAAGTTCATCTGTCCAGTTGTCACACTAACTATTACTTACAATAGCTTAAGGTTATTGCTCCTTTTCTGAAGTAGAAAAAACGAATTCTTGGTTGCAATGGCTACAACAGGACAGAATAGCCATGTCTTCCAATACTGCAACCCATCTGCTTGGTGGTTCGTTCAATTCTGTAAATCAGTGTAAATCATTCATCTGGTGCTGTATTCTCTCTGCTGTCAGATGTCTTCTCCATGCTTTAATGAGCTGACTGGATAACACTGTCTGTTAGTAGAATGGAGTAAACCTACATTTGATTTCAAGCAGTAGTGTAATTTTGAAGTGAATCCCTCCGGCATCTCCCCTTACCATTTGTTGATGCTGTCTTGGTGCATGTGTACTAGATTTTTCTTGGAAGAATTTAACCCAAAAGTTCAGTTTCAGGTACATACTAAACACTCACCAGCTCTTAAAAGAATCTGAACCAATGATTCATCACTTAGCTTAAAACCATGGGGGTCATCAATGTACAACAGGGTCATCAACTCAACTGGACTAAATCTAGCCCAAAGTAAAACAACAAGTGTGTAGGATAGCTGCAGGGACCTCAGCACCAGCTGCTTCAGTCTGTTTGTCTATTCCTTTTGCTCTGAATTACTTGCTAATGTAGACATAGCCTACATCCTGTTTCTGACCCTGGAAACAGTTCACTCCAGTTTCACTGTAATAAATCTTAGAAAGTTGGCATAAAGAAAAGCAAGGAAATTATCCACACATACCTGTACAGTATTTTCTTCTCAAGTCCAGGGATCACATAAACGTTGGAAACAAATGGGTTATCCAGAGCAAAGATAAAAACTAAATTCAAGGATTTTGGTTTATTGTCATAAAATGGAATGTACCGTGTTTTCTTCATGGCAAAATTCTTGGTTTTTCTTTAAGTTATGTTTAACACAATCTGCCGTTCTAAGAACATGGATTAATGGATTATAATCATCCTGGCTTTAAAAGTTAGGATGAAATGTAAAGTGGGATAAATCCCTGCTGTTAACAACTGTCAGGTATGATTTTGCCTCAAGCTGCAAGGTGCCTAAAATATTGCTACTATACACGTGAATGTGTCAAGGAAATAGAAGAACGTTGCCTTTGTAATTCATCTCAGATAGCAGCTTTGATGCACGTCACTAAGTATCTGACTCTTCTCTATCTTTAAGAGGCAATATAAAGTATACAAGTTATTAACAGATACGTTTTACAGAAAGATCTGTATTTTCTGGTTTTTGGTCTTAAGCTGTGTCCACATGCCCTGGCTGCAGCTATATCAGCAGAAAGATTACCTCCTGCAGGCCGTCTGGAGCTAGTCATCACTTCTCCTCTGGTGGAGATACCACCCTTCCAGTCTGTTAGCTAAGGGGTTCATGAGAACCTGCCTGCCTTTTCCAATCAAAATGGTAGAAAAAAAATGGTAGAAAAGACCATCTTATTCTGATGGGTGTGGATTTAGAAGCAGTTCAGCAGGTCAATCTGAAGGAGGCAGTAACTTCTCATGAGGAAAGATAGGGCTGTCTAGGGCTTATAATCTTTTCAGCCAGTGTTATCTTCAGCCAAGAAAGACATGGGAACACAGCTTTATTGCATAATCAGTGTAATATAGATAATATAGACCTGTCCGTATTAGAAAAAAATCTTGAAGCTAAATGACTTACAATCCCATTTATAATGCAACTGTGAGGAAGTTTTCTAGAAATAGACTTACGAAGATTAGTCTTCTAACTCATGATGGCATAGTATTGACTTACCAAATTCTGACAGTATGGTTGTAAACTCTAGGGAAATTACTTATGAAGTCAAATTAATGGTTGAAGTTTCATAGGAATTTACTATGAAAAATAAATTTACTGAACATTTGTACTTGAACATTTCTGTTAAGTTTCATTGGTTTCTGTGCAACTTGTTAGACAACTACAGAATCCAATTAGATTGCAACTTGACCCTGAAGTGTAGTATATTATGATCAGTTTTTAAAAAATTGCCCATTCAGTGGAAATAAAAATTTGGTCCTTTCAAAATATTTTTAACCATTCTAGTCTCAACATACTAGGTGCAGTAAGAAAGTAACCATAGAGCCAGTATGTGCATTAAATGTCATGGGTTAAACTAAAGATATAGAGAAAACAAATGAAGCAGTGATTCCTAAATTAGAACTGCATCATCTTGTAAAAAGTCATTGTTTATGCCAGTATCTCCAGGTGTCAGCTGAATTATTAATGCAAAATCATTCTTTCACAATAGCAGCATCTGGCAGATACTCTCTCTGCTTCTAAGACGACTGAATTTATTAAGGTGATGTCAGTGCAGGAAGCTTTTCTTATTTTTCCTCTGTATCTATTTGGTAATTTATTAAATATAATTAAAACGGAATGATTTTCTAGAACTGACTTCTTTTAAGCTCAATAAGGAGCTCTGTTACAGCACCCTGTATAAGAGAAGGTGAGTGTGCTACTCCCATGGTAGATGTATTCAGCTATTCCAGTGTTTGCAGGAGTAGCCTCATAGTGATTACTAGCACAGGACATTTTGGAGTACTATATTTCTTATTTAAACTAAGTAAATATTGATATATAATGGAATTACAAAACCAAAAATGTATTAGAAAACTAAGGAAGGCTGATAGAAGTGTAAGATTATTAAATACATTTAGGAGATATCAAAGTTAATTGGGAACGTGGTGATTTGAAAAAGAAGTCTAAAATACTGAGTTTCTCTAATCATAATGTTAGAAACACCTATCGCTTTACTCAGGTTTTAAATGTTCATATACTTTGGAGATAAAGCATTTTAAAAAATGATGCAGTTGTAATTTTCAAAGATACCCTGTCCCTGTAGACTTATCTCTCTAGGTGGTATGTGTTGAAATTGTAAAGTATAAAACATTGCTTCTAACTTACATGTAAATTTTGAGTATATCCCTTAAAATCAATGAATTAACTGAAATGGCACCGAAGAGTTATCAGAGAGAAACCAGCTATATTTAACCTCAACCTAAATGGTTGTGTTGCCTACAGTAATAAAAATCTCTCTTTTATGTTTATTTTTAATTGCTTAAATTAATACAATTATTTTCTCCTATGTTGAATTTCTAATTTATCACTTCTGATGTTGGAGCCATATTTTATCAGGAGTTTTCTTCCCTGATAGCTCAGCCATGTTTTAAATTTTGCAGACTGCACTGCAGCTAAACAAATCATCAGTAACAGTAGTCACTTCACCTAGCTGTGACATCTTTCCCAAACCCCCCCCCCGCGCCCACCCCCCCCCCCCAGCCATTAAAACACAGACAATAACAATAACTACATTATTCACCTTTATCAAAGAAATGTTTTAGATGATAGTTGTTTTCACCTAAAAAGTAAATTATATTATTATAACTTCTGGTTATTTGTAGTTCCAGAAATCTCAGAAATAGGATCACTCACAACACTTAGATCCATGACAGAATTTTAGTAGCAGCTTATTCTTCTAACTCTTCAAATGTATTAAAATATTGGGCCATAAGTAGAAGTTAGGAGCCTGTATAAGTCATGTCAAATAGCAGAATGTAGCCTTTCCTTCTTACAATATATTAAAGAAAACTTCTTCTAACACAAGGAGAAAACATATACTAAAGTACTTGTGTGTGTGTGCTTATGTGTCTAAACGCACACACATATGCAGAGCTTTTTGGATTTCAGCTCAAAAGTACATTAATGTCATTTTTGAACAGAATTAGTGTACTTGGTTTATATTTTAATCCAATATATGCCAGAAAAAATATTTTTTTTAATAAGGAAAACTAAAAAGTTACTTTGTCTATGAAGTTGAAGTCTTGAATTTATTATAGAAAAAAATTTTGCTTAGCTTTATTCTTACAGAACAGCGCAGGAATGTAGTCATGTGTATCAGGGGAGAAGTGGGGATAAAGTAAGTATGGGTATATTGAACTGAGATATCTTTAAGTATTGTAGCACTTTAAATGCCTAGCCACAAGCTAATACTGAGATATGATAACAACAAATTCTCTGACTGAAATGCTGTGTATGTGTTTATAGGTCCTTTCAAGGGATTTTCCTGTCACTGTTGTACATTCGGTAGATAACCTTTCCTTGCTAAACACGTATTTTTTTTCTTCGTTTAGCTGGTTGGGTTTTTTTTTCAACTGGCACATGTGAAAATCTAAACATCAAGGAGCTTCAAGTAGTCTAATACTAGTTTCCATAAGTACTAAAAAAAAAAGTTTCTCTCTTGAGGAACTGATAAGTAGAGATTAGAGAGAAAAGATGGAATGGGAAAATGAGAGTGGTGGGAATGCAAAAGACAAGACACAGGAAGATTGCAGAACTAAAGGTATTTTACAGATTTGATGTGAAGCTAGACAAAGCACAGTGGAACATATTTCAAATGTGAAATTCAATCAGCAATTTCTTTTTTCATTGCAAACTGTACTTATTTCCATTGTAATTGGGAATTTTCAGTTAATTACCATGCTTAATTCTGAAAATTTGAAAAAAAGATCACAATTCATAAACTTATTTGAAGAGTAAATTTTAAATTTGAAATTAACACATGAAATTTCTGTGAGCAATATCTCATCAAGATTTTTAGAATCTTGAATTTTATATGGATATGAAGTAAATATCATCATCAATAATTAATGCTAAAAAATTTTGCCATGAATATTAAACTTCATGCTTAAAATCTTACACCAGGCTCTTTCTGATAATGTTCAAGAGGAAGCAGTTGTGAAAAGCCAACTATCCCACAGTGCTGTACTCTGATAATCTTGTATTGTCTTCTTAAATATCTGCTCCTGACTCCTGTTGGAGACATTCACTGAATTCAATAGATCCCAAGCCTAATTGAGGATAACAATTTAAGACGTTACATAGTTTTTACTGTTTTAAAAGAATAATGGCAAGATGCCTCCTCAGGATGGGGGGGTGGTTCATACTGTAATATTTTGGTACATATTTTGAAAAGGAAGAACTGTGTAGACTAGCAAGTACTTCAGAAATTAGCTGTTTCAGTAATGGTAGATGGAGTATCATTTGCAGCATTACCTCTGTACATGTCTGCTACATTGGGTTCTGAGCAATAGCAAGAAGTCCGCTGCAAAACCTTCCAATTAAAGTTTGATTTCCAGCTACATCCAGGAGTAGCATCTTTGCCTATGAAGTTACATGGTGTCTCAAGAGTTATGATAAAAGATTTATATCCAGTTTGATTACTTTGAAGAATCCTGGGTTTTGTACAGAGTATAATACTGCTTATTACACACTACACCCTATCTGCTCTGAAACATTTTTGCAGCATAGACAATACATGAATTTAATTAGCTTTAAAATATTTTTAGGCAAAAATGTAGAAGGATTTGTGTGTACAGAAAAGACAGTTGCCTATGGATGTATTTGTTGTCAGCATTCACAGGGGAATTATTTTGCTGTTATGTTTCACATTATTATTTCTTACATATCCTTTTGTATTATACCTCAATATCTTCTTTTTTCCCTTTTTTTTTTTTTGTTTTTTAGATTCATAACCAATACCCAACAGAGTTTGAGTTCAATCAATATTATCTGAAGTTTCTGGCTTTTCATCACATATCAAATCGATTTAAAACCTTTCTTCTGGATTCAGATTATGAAAGACTAGAACATGGTATGTGTGATGTTTGTTTATTGCATATTGGTTTTGTAGTTGTTGGTATTTTTCTCGTCAATATTTGGTCTACAAAAATTTGCCTAGTTTGAGATGGCCCAGTAATTGCATGGTGATGATGTAATGAATTCCATTTCAGGAATATAAAGCAAAATGGAGGTGAAGAACACGTAGAATTTTCTGAATGTATGATTCCTGAGCCATGCCACTGATGGGACTAAGAGAAAGTGGAAGAAATTAGTACCATGCCTAAGGGTTTTTTAGCAATTTATCCACACGGTTCAGTTTCCCCTACTAAATACCTTATTTTAACAGAAGCAAAGTCCTTGGGAATCCTTCAGAGTGTGCATGAGGTTTCAGGAAAGGAAAGCCTTTTCATCTATTCTCTCTCACTTTTTTCTCTTGCATTCTCTTCAGTGTTTCTCTTCTTTTATATATCTTTTTTACTGCATTTATCAGGTGCAACCTTACTGGTTCTAAGGCCTTATCTACCCTCAGAGCCCTCTTAATAAGACTACACAACCACAGTTGAGGCTGTTCTTGGAACTTGTTCACTAAGCAAAACACTTATGTGATCTGAATTTCACTGCTTCGTGGAGTGGTTCTCATGGCATATGGTCAACTTGAAGGCTTTTCTTAAAAACTGTCGTAACTGTGGAACAGACTAAACTTGAGCAACCATTTTATTTTGACAAAAAAGTTAATTTCCATTATTTACCTTCATTTGAACCAAAGCAAGGAGTTGGAGTTGATGACCTCCTGTGGTTCCTTCCAACCTGGATTGTTACATGGTTCTACAATTTGGGGGTGGTTGTCTGTTTATTTAGGGTTAGTTTGCTTTCAAATACCATTTAATGCAATAGGAAATCCTGTTTCCAGTAGTCTTTGGATAAACTGTATTTCCTTCCAAAGTCATTTCAGATAGCACAAATCTATGGCTAACTTATTTACACTAGCCTGATTTGTTTTCCCTGAAATGAGTTAACAAGTAATTTCAGGTGCAGCTGGTCCAGCAGATTGGAAGGGCTGGTAACCTTGGGTAGTGGGGGGCAGAATCAGTTGGCAGGGCTTGGTGGTGTGCTGAATCAGCATAGCTGCAGGCAGAAAGGGACATTCATAAATACACTTACGTGTTTCAGTAAATTTCAGAACAGCTTTATAAATATAATGCTACTGAATAGTTGCAGTTGTAAAGCACAGCAGTTGTTTCATCAAGTACAATCTTGTTGCAGTGGCATTTGATAGTAGATTTTACTATACATTTAGTCTGTGAAATTCCTTTTGGCTATGCTTTAGTGTTTGTTATATATTATCATACAGCTATCTTTTTGCTGCTATTCTTTTCCCTAGGGACATTGTTTGAAGATAAAGGAGAGAAACATGCCAAAAAAGGAATTTGTATTTGGGAATGTATTGAAAAGATGCACAAAAGGAGCCCTGTTTTCTTCAATTACCTCTATGCCCCTGCTGAAATAGAGGTACGATTTAAAAAAAAAAACAGGTGGTTTGTTATTCTGAGTGATTCCTTGAGTACATTTTGATATCTTAATTGTTCTCAACTGAATTAAGCATTTGTCAGACAAAGTTGATCCACCTTGATTGATTGGAGCAGCATCTCATAGGCTTATATTCTCAGTCATCTTAGTTATGGAAATGTCATTTAAAGGGCCAAATTGTGGAACATGTATTTATGCATCCCACTGAGGTAAATGAGGATCTGTGTTTGATTTAATTTAATTATGTGAATGATCTTAAAATTTGCACAGATTGTTTAAAAAAAAAAACATTACATACTGCAAACCACAGTTATGGGGAAATGAGTTTAGAGTCGCAATGGGCTACATTTCATAACGATCTGATTGAATCACATTGCCTATATCACGGTCTCATATGATAATGTTTGTCCACTAGATTGGACTGTGTCTTGAATAATTATATAAAATTCACAATACACTCGCCATTATAGAATTCTGCAATAGAAGCAGCAGTCAAGATATCTCAGGAACTGCAAGAAAAGGGTGCTGTTCTTACTGTAGTTCTGGAGACAAGGCTGTTTTAAGATGTTCCTGCCATCCACTACCCCACAGATGTTCATTCCTGCGCTGCTTTCTCCTGCTTTGGCAGTGAGCTTCACCCAGATAAATCATTTGTTTGCATGTCTGTCCACTGCTGGTGACGAGAAAACATAATGATGGGAGAGTCTCCACTGTCTCGGAGGCTATGGCGCCTCTGATATTTTTGTTGGTGTTTCTTGGTTTTCCTCTTTCCTCAAGTTATTTCGCCACATTGTATCTTAGCATACATAGCACCTTGCACTCAAATCTGCTGTATAAACTGACCTCATTTAAAAAAAAAAAAAAAGATTATTTTCTTTAAGGTATTTTGAGTCTGCATCAGATCATTATTGCAGTCAACAGTGCAGCCCCCTTCAACCCACACACATGCACCACACACACACTTATACTCGCCTAATAAAGTGGTGGTGCAAGAGGGAGGAGGGAGAAAACAGAGGGTGACATTCAGTGGATAGAAAGTGCTTCAGCTGTCTTTGTTTTAGAGAAACATCTGTTTTCTCTGTAGAACCATCACTGTGATGAATTTGGAGCTTGATGGGCTGCTTGCTCACTGTATGTTCTATCCATTTTGCTGTAAGCAGTAGCCTGATTAGTAAGCTTAGGAGTAACTTTCGATATTTTGATAGTGTTTTCTTTCTCTTTTTTAGAAGAAACTATTTTTCCTCATGTGAAATGGTGTCATAGTAGCAGATTTAGTCATAGTAGCAGAATTAGTCATTATACTGAGCATCACTCTTCAGACTTTACAATTGCCCGTTCACCTGAGGCAGTAATTCCCTTCAAGTAAGGTGCATGCAAACTGAAAGTCTTACCTTATTTTTTAAAAGAAAAAAAAAACCATTTTTAATACAAAGTGATCTGTTTTAAACTACTCTGAAAGATCTACAGTCTCTGGCTGCCTACTTTATATTACTGTGGTTTTTCCAAGTGGCATGTCCACCTACGTTATACAGCCTGTCTCTTTTCTCTGATGGTAGAGTGTCTTGGATTTTCTGCTGAGAAAAATTGAAGGGTGATTGCTATCGAGTGCTTTTTGTATCTTTAACAGGAGGCACAAAGACCGTGAGGGTATCAACTACATATGCTGAATTAGAGTTCTTGGTAGGCACCTGGTTTAGTAGAAGGATAAAAATGAGCAGTACATTCCCAAAGCTAGTGTTAGTTTTAGGTTTTGATCTGACAGCCAAGATCTTGCTGTGGAAACTATCAAACTGCAGCACTACTCACCCAGTGCAATATACTGTTCAATTTAGAATAATCTAGAAAATATAAGTATTGTATTGTAAGTCTGAAACTCAAAGATTTCCTTTCTGTCATTATAATAAAACTTTGTTTCAAATAGGCACTGAAACCAAATGTAAATATGTCCAGCCTCAAAAAGTGGGATTATTATGTAGAAGAGATTTTGGCTACAGGTCCTTCCTATGACTGGACCATGGTAACTGCAAAATGCAGTGCTGCAGAGGAAACTGACCAAATGGATGGTTCACTCTCTCAGACTAAGAGGAAAATAGTATGGCCATGTTATGATGATGTTAAAAAAATACAACCTGATGCCATCAGCAGCCTTTTAAATGTAAGTACATGTGTTACACAGAACAATAAGTTCCCTTATGCTCATGAAATTCATATTTACTTTTTATTTAAGTTATTGCCTTATAGATATAGTGTTATTAAAAGGATCATGATAGATGTCGAAGCAGGTATTTAGTAAAACTGACTGGTTGATCTTGAGAAGTGATGGGTTGGTCTGGGAATCAATCAGACTTCCTGCAAAGCTTATGTTGTTCTGAATGAACACTTTTGTGGGAGTACACTTTAATAGTAGTCAATAACTATGAGAAAGCCAGTCATGGATTCATTTTTTCACTGTCCTTTTTAAATAATAAGGTAGGTAGCGTAATAAATTTTTAGGTTGCCTTTTATAAGAAATGCAGGAACTGTTATTTTAATTTGGGCAAATGTTGAATCTAGCTTTCTTGTCCTCTTTCTACTCAGTGTAAAGTAGGTGTGCAGTAAAATGACAAAGACCCAGATTTCCAGACAAATCAGAAAACAGAATCTGACAGTTGTTGATTTTAACAAGTGAGAGGCAGATGCACAAACATAAACTGAATATCCTGGCCCAAATTTCTCAAAAAAGCTTTCCATGATTGCTCTTAGTTTATTCATGTTTACTAGGACCGAACTGGTAAATTTAGATTCTTCAGAATATTTTGGTACTTGAAATAGATGCTTGATTTTGGCTTTTTCTTGTTTGGGCTCATGTAGGCTGCTTAGGTTTTGTCCTTTCTTCATTAGAAGATGAAAAAGGATCCCATTATCATGATAATTGTTGTAGTTATTTTGAATGATTTAACATCTGTATTTTCTTAAATGTTTCTTGGTTGATTATAATTAATTAACAGTCCTGATATTTAGATTATCATCTTAATTGATAGCGCAGGAAAATGACAAGGGCATTCTTCACTTCTGGAGCTATTGTTTCAAGCCACATGCATATTCAGATGCACATCACTATGTACAGTTTTTTATTTTGAAAACTATTTGCAGACTTTACCTGATATTAAAGCTGGGATTATGGAGCCTAATATTGCAATGTTTGGAAAATTGGGATATGCTGTGGGTCCCCGAACTCCCCTGAATCAAAGATGATTTTTAGCAAAGTCTTAAGGCAGGAAGTTTCTGAATGGATTTGAGTCCTTGAGGATAGACTTGCTTTTGCTAGACAGTTAGCTTTATTCTGGCACATTCCTCAAATTTCTTTTGGTCCATTCCTTCCAATCATAATTGATCAAACACAGAAACAATGCCCAGTTAACAAAAAAAAATCACGTGTAAAACTCCCCTTGACTCTAAATAAGATAGCCAGAACTTCTCTGAGCTTATAACTTCACAAATGCAAAAAAAGAGCAGTCTCTCAGCAGGGATCATTTCAGGGATTCTTTAGCAAAAAAACAGAGAGCTTTCATATCAGGTAACTAGAGGCCAGAAGTACATCAGGAATATAGCAACAGTGGTGTTCTGCATTTCTTCCTGGGGTAGATGCAAACTTATCCATATCCACAACTGTGAGAAACTGCCATATAACAGGGATATTAGCCATATTATATTCTAAAGATATGTGGGTCAGGTTTTATAGCGTTTAAATGTTATTTGTGAATTAGATTATAGTAATAAAAGATAGCAATGGAGAGTAACATTTGGAAAACTTTGAAGAGGTTGTATAAAGGTTACAAAAATATTCTTCTAAGTTTAAAAAGCAAAGTGAACTTTCTTTTAAAACAAGTTGTTAATTTAGGGCTATTGCTGATATAGGAGAAAGACCTCTCTTTAATCATAAATCCATTGAGAATGTGTTGGTATCCAAAAAATGTTTGAACTGAGACCATATTTAGCAATGGTAAATTACTAGGGAAGATTGATTCTCCCTTAGTTTATAATGGTAAGCCCAAATTTGTTTGTTCTAAAGATATTTTTCAGTTGAAAACTAGGTAGTGCTCTTCAGGATGTAAAGCTGAAACAGAGAACTTACTGAGTGTCTTAATTCAGAATTTTCCTTGGTTAGAATGTGGTGCTCTTCTATTAAGAGCAAAAGGTGTAATTTTTTAGCAGTAAATGTTAGCAAGTTAACCAATCTGCACATTTCATTCATTTAGTCCTAAATGAAGCCTTTTAAAGATTGCAGATGATAAAATGCATTTTAAAATACAGATTTCTGTATAAAGCTTCTCAATTCACTTCTACCACATCAGAGGCAGCCAACAAATATGAGCTAGGTTGTTCAAATCTTAAATTCTCAAAAGTGTACTTTGGAGACATAAATATTCAAAAGCAGATCCAAACAGAGGTGCTTCCCTTTAAGACCATTTTCTGATGGCCTTTTTCTGCATGATAGAAATTAGAAACAAGGTACTGATAGTAAGAGTAGCTAGCCATCCATTTTTTAAAGAAAATTAAAGGTAATTGTGAAACAGCACACCTATGCCTCTATTTTCTTTTTCAGAGATCAGTTGCAAATAGTTTTAAAAGAATTTCTCCATTTAAAAAAGGTAAATTTCTCCACAAAACTCAAAAACAACTCATTTGACAGGAACTTTGAGGTTCCTGCTGCTTTTTTTTTGTAAGCACTTGCTTTCCTTGCTTGTAAAATTCAGTAAGATAATACCACAGTGTAGCACATCCAAGAGCCATGTCTTCAGTACAGGCTAAAGTTCTGGGTTAAATGTTTCCCATAAAGACTAGCTCTTCAAATGATCCATTGACATGCGTATGTTATGATACATTATAAATGAGCTAACTTACCTGAGTGATGTTCAAGAAAGGGAAGTACAAAGTCCCGCACCTGGGGAGGAACAACCCTATGCACCAATGTATGCTAGGGGCGCCCAGCTGGAAAATAGCTTTGCAGAAAGGGCCCTGGGGGTCCTGGGGAACAGCAAGCTGACCATGAGCCAACAACTTGCCCTTGCAGCAACAACGGCTAGTGGTATTCTGGGTTGGATTAGGAGTGTTGCCTGCAGGTTGAAGGAGATGATCCTTTCCCTCTATTCAGCCCTGCTAAAGCCAAACCCGGAGTACTATGCCTAGTTCTGGGCTCCCTGGTACAAGAGAGAGATGGGGCTACTGGAGAGAGTCCAGCAAATGGCCATGAAGATGATTAAGGGACTGAAGCATCTCATGAGGAAAGGCTGAGAGAGCTGGGACTGTTCAGCCTGCAGAAGAGAAGGCTCAGGAGGGGGATATTATCAATGTATATAGATATCTGAAGAGAAGGTGTTAAGAAGCCAAACTCTTTTCAGTGGTGTCCAGTGACAGGACCAGAGGCAATGGGCACAAACTGAAACCTCAACCGTTCTGTGATATATGCCTGGTTGCTGGTTGTATTAGAGGTAGTAATCTACCTATATTTCAGTGAAAATGCAAGTCAAATCCTTGAGGGCAGACATATCTCCACTGTTTTCCACTAATTTGCTAATGTTCCTAAAAAGATATTCAGTCCCCATAATTCACTGAGAGTGGCTCAGATTCCGGTACTTTTAAGAATTGTGAGAGATGAACCTACGTGTCCTATTCTTACAAACAAGCAGTTATATCACTTATTAGATGGTGGTTTCTCAGAGAGAGGTTGGCAAACTCAAAGATGCCACTTCAGGATGCCAGTCACCCAAATTAACTCGGCCATATATATATGCCATGAAGAATTAAAGCTATATAAGGGGTCAGTGAATATCCAGCAAAACAATAAAAATAGCACTTCTGATTGTGAGCTGTTTTATAACTTTAGGTTATGTGCCAAAAAGGCTGATCCATCAACGTGGACCCTGAACCAGAAAGTTTATTCCAAATACTGATCAACTAGTCGTGTACAGCTTGTTGCACACACAAATCTGAACACTTGACAGAGGCAGCAATTCGATCACTGGATACACATTCAGCATCTTTCCATTTGTAGTCAAAGTCTCAGAAGCCTTCTAGCCTAGAAGTTGAAGAGAAAATACTAACAAGGAAGGACTTCCAAAACAGGGTGCTCTGTCACAGTCAAGACAGTTCACTAGTGTAGGACTTTGTCCAGATTGTTTTGTGTGTGCACAAACCTTTTCTGGATACAAAGGAGGTGATTAGTCTCCACAGTTCTGGAGTGTCTGCAGAGTTAACTCCTGTCTGTACCATTCAAATATTACAAAGCAGATTACTTAGCAGATACATCTTTTGAAAGGCACAGTAATGCTAATTGCTTGTAATTACTAATTTCAGGAAATGGGTATTCATAGAATTGTATTTGTTATAACCTTTCTTCTTACACATATTGACTTCTGCTCCCGTAAGTCTAGGCAACAGGAGATGAACCAGAAAGTTAAATTTAAGGAATTTTTCTTTCAAGGAAATGCAACTATCCATAGTCCATTCCACATATGGAAGGAAAAAGTGTGATGTTTTCAGTAAAATTTAAAACTGAAGGGGTAAAAGTAAATCTTAGTGATTTATTGCCATGTGAGTTTTTTACATGGGATTTATTAAAGAAGAATTTATTCCTAACTTTTCAAGTTATATATAGGAGATTGTTGAAAGTTTTTCATTTTAAGTTCTGGAAGCACTACTCATTGTGGAGCCAAAAAAGAAGGAATGTGACACAGTTGCTAAGTAACAAGTTTCAGTTACTTCCAGATTCTGCAGAGAAAGACTCATACTCAGAAGTCAAGACTAGGGCAGAAAGAGAATGATCAGATTAAAACCTGACTAACTTCTAGCACTAAAGAACTTAGAATCATAGAATCATAGAATCATTGAGGTTGGAAAAGACCTCTAAGATCATCGAGTCCAACCGTCAACCCAACACCACCATGCCCACTAAACCATGTCCCTAAGCGCCTCATCTACACGTCCTTTAAACACCTCCAGGGATGGGGACTCAACCACTTC